AGGTGAGAATGTACCTGTGAGCAATTCACGGTGGCTGGAGCACAAGGTCAATAGGGGAATTGGAGGAGATGAGGTCATGAGAGAAAAATGGGGGCAAATTGTGGTTATTATTGTTGCCTCTTAGTAGTGTTCTTGAATTGTGAACTAGAGATTCTCCCCTTTATGCAACTCATTAATGAAACTATCACCTTAATAAAAGATAAACTGTGAATTTATTATTCATCTTCCAGAAAGAATTAATGACACATTTCTTCAAATAGTAAGCATGTCTAATACATTTACAATGTGATTTGCTTTGTAAATGTAGATTGATATGCAACTTTTCAGGAACACGTGGATTGTAAACAAACTATGTCTTGACTGGTAGGAGTGTCACCTCACCTGCATAGTTGGAAGGGCACTCAGAGTTGTTTTTTCTACTGAGGGAAATATATTTGTTTAAGAGGCTGATGAGATGGCTAAAATGAGATATGAATAAATATTATTTGCTTATGCACCCTAATGCTTGGGAACTTTTTAACCATTGATTGCAAGGAAGCAGTCTTTGAACTTATTAATGCATTCCTTCTCTGGATTCAGATTTTGGAGGTAAAATAAAGTTTTAATTGCGAACCTCTTGGTATTATTACACTTGGGCTCCATGTATATTTTTCTGTATAAGTTCCAGGAATTTCCTGTATCTAAAAAAGCTTTTTATTTTGAACTAATTTTAGACTCACAAAAATGTTGCCAAACTAGTATGGAAGGGATCATTGCACTGTATTGTATGTCCCTCACCTATCTTCCCCTAATGTTGACACCTTATGTCACCATAGTGCAATTACTGATGATAGTACAATTATCAAAACCAGGAAACTGACATTGTTTCTATACTGTTAACTAAACAAAAGCCTTATTCTAATTTCAGCAGTTTCTCTACTAATGTCTATTTTCTGGGTCAGGATCCTATCCAGCAACCACATTACATTTAGTTGTTATTATTTCTCCTTAATCTTCTGCAGTCTGTGACAGTTCTTAAGTATTTCCTTTTCTTTTATGACCTTGCCATTTATGGTTATTTTGTTGAACAGTTCTCAGTTTGGGATTGTTTGATATTTTCTCATGTTTTGACTGAGATGATGCATTTTGGGCAAGACTACCTCAGATACGATGTTGTAACCTTTGCAGTATATCATTTCAGAGCATTCATGGTGTCAGTATATCATCACTAGTTATTTGACCTTGACCACTTTGTCACGGTTATTTTTTCTTTGTACCTTTAACCCTGATGGTTTATCACTGTCAGCTATTTCTGACAGATAACAAGATCATGGAATGTAAAACCGAAAAGGAACTTAGAGACCATCTTTTGTTAACCCATCCTTTTACAGTCAAGCACCCAGGAGCTTGAAAAGGGTAACTATTTGCCCAAAGGTCACCCAGTTATTTAATGACAGACCAGGAACTTAGCAGTTAGGTCTTAGAGATCCGTGTTTGATACTCTCTACACTTCCTAACTATGCTCAAACATATGTAATTCACTCAGTCCTAGTTTTACCAGACTGTGAAAGTTAAATGAACTGTATGAATATCCAGCCAACCTTTGGTCAAAACTTAAAACCAGGCTAAGAGAGAAATCCCAGGGAAGTATATACTCCACAGTTCATGGTGCCCACTCACAGAGCTGGCCAAGGCTGGAAACCAGATGAACTTCTGTGTCAGCATTTCTGAAATGAAAATTATTCTCATGGAATGCTCCATATAACACAGAGAAAACAACAAAAACCTACTTGAGATTTTTAACAGAAAAAGGAGATTTGTTTATTAATAATTCATGAGTTCCCATTGAACATGCACGACAGAAACAGTGCTATTCAATAGAGAATACTGTCATCTGTCACTGTTTTATTTGACATTTACACTTTTTTTTTTTGCCTGATACTGCAGAACTTTCTTGGATGGCATGCAAAAATTATATAAATGAAAAAAATCCCAATGTGGGGACCCTTTATCTCTTCTGTGATGGGTTCACTCACAATTACATACATGTGTGTTCATGCAACTGCGTGGCACTTTCTCACACATTCATTAGCCAGCAAACAAGCTAATAAGAGACCCTATTGAGAAAACAGAGATAAGCATCCCAAATGGGCTGGTGAAAAGATGATATGAATAAAATGATGGTGCATGAGATGGGAAGTGAGGTGGAAGAATAGATTTCCTGAAGATAGGCATACAAATACGTGGAATGAGCAAGCGAGCCAGAGCAAGGGGAAGGCAAATCATGGCTGCCATGAAGAAAACTAACACAAAAATACATTGCCAGTTCAGATACAAAATAAATACCTATAAATGGCATCACAGGAGTGCCGGTATTATGGAATAATGACCTTTAGGAGAAGAGCAAGGTAGAGTTAGGATCACCTTCCGATTTTGTGCTACTATAAGACTCTTTACAATCTTTCTGCTCTGTAGGTTATTATTATAAAAATCACAGAACCAGCTGATACATTCATAAGCTAATTATTGAGGCAGCTGGGTACACATGGTGCAATATGTCCAAGGCTGTGAAGTATCACAGATTTCTTGGGGCCTGCTGTGGTGGGGGTGCGCTATTGAAGGCTCCATCCCTTAATCTGATCAGCCAAGCAAACACTTTGTGGGGAAACTAGATTAATAACCCTCTAAATACCATGAATGTGCTTCATCTTCAAAACCGGGTTCCCTTAAACATGCTATTAGCTCAGCTCCATGAGGGATTTGAGGAAGTTCTCTGGTGCCTTAAGAACAGGGTCTTGTTGGCTACCTCCCCGTGCCAGAAATTAATTTGGTTTGCTTATGTCTGCACACATGATCACACTTGTGTCTAATCTGCTCCCTAATAGCTTCAAGGTCAAGACCTTGCATGTCAGTGGGCAAATTGAGCACTACACTTCTTAAAGACTGATGGCAGACAGCACACAGTCCATAACGAGGCCTGTAGTGTTGTTCTAAGTGATTGTAATGAGTGCAGATTATAACGGCGCATATAAATCAAATGCAGCAATGAATGTTGTGCGAGACATTCCCAGTGTCATAAGTGGAGATACCACTCAGCTGTCACCTGTCTCCTTTCAAGCTGCAGCTTCCCACAATGCAGTTCAGTCCTCAAGCGGAACAGCAGGTGCTGTCTTCCTTAAGGTCTGGGTATCTCAGATCTTCATCTTTTAACAGATGCAGGTTTTTGTTTGTATTTTCCATTGAATGATTGGTCTCCATGTTCTTGCCTCCCCTGGGAGATGTTAAACATACCTGTTTGAAACATTTGAAAGAATTCAGTTGGATACTTACTCAGATCTGTGAAAAGATAGAGAAGTAGGAGCTTATTTTTCCACTTGTTTTCCATTTCAAGAATTTTTACTTTAAGCAAAGAAACCCTTGAGGAAACACTTGGAGATTTTTAAAAATATAGTTTATTTTTAAAAATATAATTTATTTTCTGGTAGGGATAAAAAAAATTTGTCTTTATTTTTTATATACATTGCACCTTGAAAATCAAACGTTATCTGCCTTTAAATTGAGTTGAAAAAGAAATCTGTGAAAATACTTGGAAAAATATTTCCAAGCAAATGATAAGATATCTTGTTTTCATTCTTCCTAACCTTCTAACTCTCCCAAGCTTCCAGTTTATTGCAAGAAAAGATCAGGTCTGCGCAAATGTGGCCTCTCACTTGTAAAAACAAGGCAGTGTTGTGTTACAGATTAGTTTATAAATCCCCGGTGGCTTCACAGTTCAGTGCCTACAGCTGCTGCAGATGGGCCTGGGTTTTTGTCTCTTCGCGGTGCTGCAGCCGGCAGTTGAAGGAGAAAATGGAATGATCAGGTTATTAACATGGAGGCCGTGAGGAAGAGGCTGCACAATGAGAACAGCTGGTGTTGCTGTCTTGGCTGATGCAGCAGAGATAATCAAATCTTGCCTTTTTTTTGGGTAAAGGCAGAAGACACAGTGGAGAGTTAGACAAACAACAGCTTATGATATTATATGGGGTTTTTATAATGCATGTCAGGAAATTTCATTGGCTTACAAGTGATGATATAGAATTTGTTGAGGTTTGGGAATATTTTTCACAAAGTCATTCATGTTTATGTACCTTTTAAGATAAATTTTTACTCTTTTGCAAGAGACATGATGTGGGACAGTTCTTGTTTTGAAAATTAGCGATGTAGCTTGGAAATGATGGGTTAGAAAGCTACTGGGTAAAATATTTTGACATGAGTCAGTGAGCGATGTTGACAGCATCCTCTGTATTATTTTCATATAATCCATCATTATTTGCATTACATTTTCTTTCTTGTGCAGTTGAAAGAGAGAGAACATCCGGATGCCAGAGTTTGGAAGCAGACATTTGCAGGTGTGACCCGACCAACTGCCTACCTTCCTGCAGGTGTGGCTGTGGCGGGAAGGTGATGGTTAAGAGGGCCTAGAGCCCAAGATATTCAGAGGTTGAGCAAATATGCATTTCTTTTCATTCTAGCCAAGGTTATTGCTTCTATTTTGCGGAGTTATTGATAATTGTAAGAATATTTCCGCCCTAGAGAATTCAGTGTTGTTTACACCTAGACAATTTTTCTTTTTTAGAATTTGCTGTCCTGTAATGCACATTTGTTTATCTTCACTCTTAGCATGAAATGCTGCCCAGTTGGGTAATTTTAAAATTGTAGCTGACTGACACAAAATACTTTTTCTGAGAACAGATAACTATAATCTTGCTTATCTTTTACAGAGAAACTGCAATGGAGAATATATTCTATAGGCAGAGTGATACGATATCTAACAAGAGGAAAGATTCTTGGGCAGTGGTATAACCACCTATGTGGTCAGGGGTTGGTTTTTAGAGTCAGATTGTTCCAGTATCTCCCCAGGTTGGTGGGAACAATTTTGACAGAAAAAGATGTACTGTGATGGCACTGGACCACAGTCAAGGCCCCCTCAGCTCCTCTGCACTCTGCAGGTTAATGCAAGCGACCTCCTCTCTCTCCAGGGCTGGCTGTGTGAACTGCTCCGCTGGAAGGAGAACCCAAGCCCAGAAAACCGCACCCTCTGGGAAAACCTCTGTACCATCCGTCGCTTCCTGAACCTTCCCCAGCATGAGAGGGACGTGATCTACGAGGAGGAGTCGAGGCATCACCACAGCGAACGCATGCAACACGTGGTCCAGCTTCCACCTGAGCCAGTGCAGGTCAGTGTCCCCAACCCCCGCATCCCACCTGAGCAGGGCTCTCTGTGCCAGCAGTAGCTGCTGAGGGTTCAAGTAGCACACACCACACCAACTTCTGTTAGAGGGTGTCACATGCCAGGTCCCAAGTACGGAAGATGCTGTTGTCACAGTGGGTACTGTGTGTATATTTGTGTGTGTGCATGCGCACGTGTGTGTGTATGTACACACAAAGAAAAATGACTGAGAAGTTGAATGCCAAAGACAGCTGCTTTCCTGAGAGCATTTTACTTGTGGGATTATAAAGCCAGAGCACTCACGGAGAATTAAATCTCTTGATCGGAAAACATGGTTTCCATCAGTTCATTTTCTATAAAAAACCTGTGAAGTAGTTTTGCATCCAAAATCCCTCAAAGAATGTTTGATTAGACTGAGGAAAAGAAATAGCCACATGACCTAGGGAATACCATTGAACTCATCTGAACCTTGAGAGACAGATTGTGACAGATTCTTAGAATTTTAAGATGAGATTTTGCTGTCCTTGGTTACATCTCATTTAGAAATCTGCCTTCCTTTGGATTGCGTGTTTTGTTGGCTTAGGTTTTGCTCTCATTGAGAGAAATAATATTGCTTTGCCATAGTAATTGAGTTTAACTACTGACACTTTCCATAATCTAAAATTAATTGCTTTCAAGAAGAAATACTGATTGAGATTTCCAACATTAGGCCCCCTAGAGTTTGGCCCACAAATTGCTGTGGTAGGTTATAAGATGGGCCTGCTGCCCAGTACCCTCAATTTCAGCTGCCACCAAAGAGGACCCTTCTGCCTCTCTCTCAATCTCCTGAAGTAAGAAAAAGTTGAGGCAGGAGTGCATGTGTGCACATGTGTGTGCAGAATGGAAGAGGAGAAGACAAAGGGAGAGTGAGGCATGGTTTCTTGATAAAAATAGAGAGGAGTGGTGAGGGATGCAGTAAAACACCCCACCCTGAGGTTCCTGTCTCCTTTCCCCTCGCTCCCCCTCACACACTTGGGAGAGAAGCCAGAAGTTAACACATCTTTACGTCACTTTTCATCTAAATATCGTCATCTCTGCCAATGATTTTGTGCTATGCTTTTGTGTTATCACTGGTCAGTTTCCAGGGACAAAGTCACAGAGTGAATTGCCCAAACTTAATAGTAGAGGCAGTCTCTTGCAATATCCACAGTGATCCCAGAGTTAGGGATGGGGATGGGGTTGATGAGGGTATGCAGCACATCCTCACCCTTTAGGACCCACCCTCCCCCTTTCCTTCTTGGTCCTTTTCTGACCAAGGCCTCATCCACCACCAGGGCACCTCCCTTTAGATAATTAAACCCATGTACTGAGCCACACAGAGCAGTGGCTTTCAGACTTCGAGATTCAATTGAAATTAAAATTAAAGAGGGGCCCAATACAGGCTTTCCAACCTTTTATTTTAGAAAACAAATTTATTTGAAAAGTTTTAGGGAAGCTCTTATTTACTATCAATATCATTTCATAACATACTCTTTGATAGCAGACAGATTAATGAAATGGATAGCCTCAGACAAAAGATCATGTAAACGGTACAGTTCAGCCGTGTGAAAATCTATCACTCCCCCAACATCCCCACCGCTTTTTTTTTTTTCTAATTTTGATGTGAACTGTATTAGATTTCTGTCTTGAACCAACACAAGGCCAAGGACTTGCTTCAGGGAACCACTGATTTTGCATGGAATTTTTATTCAGGGCCTATCTTAGTTCAGTACAAGTTAAGTAGAAATAAAGCAGCAAGGAAAAAGCAATTGATTCTACATATTAATCACAGCTCATTTTAATCATAAGATGGTGATAAAGTTGAAAACTTAGAGAAATTTGAGATAAAAGTAATAAAATGCATTGTTTGTTATAATTGAGGGCCTCCCTTCATCTGGATGACAGCTCTTATACCATACCTGTCTGTTTTTTGTCCATAAATTATCATCTTGTTGGGCCCTTTGTTTATTGGTAGCTAAAAGTATATTTAACATAATATTTTGTCTTACAGTTGGCCAGTTTGAGTACAGTAAATCTCAGAAGCAGACAGCCAATTGATTTATGAGTTTTATTATCTTTTCTATTAGTATGTCAGAACTAGAGTATGCTGACAATATTTAATGGCTAAGCATGAATCTGTAATTTTTCCTTTCAGTTTTAAGCATCTTATAGCTATTAACATTAACTTCTGATATCACTAAGAGAGATGCACTTATTTTATAAAAGGTTATTTCCATCACTCAGATCTTAGCTAAAGAGTTTACAAATTAGGTTATTTTCTCTAAAGTGAATTTGCCTCAGCCGTTGACCTTGAGCCCATAACTACTGTGAAACTCATCAGCACATCACTTTTTTTTAACATTATGCCTATATCTGAGTGACACTGCTTTGCAATGTTGAATTTATGTCTGTCAGCAAAATACAAAGCTGTGGATTGTTTATTACAGTCATAATATGAAAAGTGAAGAAAAATAACTGACACTAGACAGCAGAACTCCTGAGACTAGAGAATACAGTTGGCACAGCCTCAGTGTCTTGGGGAGGGCTGTATTTAAAAACATACCAAGCTACTACAAAAAGGTCTGTAATTGTCCAAAAGTCAAGGACTCGGGGTTGGAATTCACTTGGGGCTTTCATATCAACTAAATTTTTAGTGAGATACAGTTACTTACCTGTTTTAGAAATCTTAAAAATTCATATGTAGGGTAATATTAGTTTGGTGATGTTACATTTTTGTCTAATTAGATAGGAAATGTGCCATTATTAAATTGTTAACTATGGGTGAAATCAGTGATTATTAAGAGCTTCTGATATAGCAGCATATTAAAAAACATGTAAGTCCTCTTCACTTGTGGTCATGAAAGTGTGCCATTTAAATTTCTTTAGGTAATTAGGGTACACTATTCCCAAATTTTTCATAAATGGTAAAGATATGAGGCAGTGATTTCCGTGCATAATTACCCACCAGAATAATCTGTTGTATTAGGGTCCCACAGATGTACTGAAATAAAAAGAGGGAACTTTGCATCGCTCCTCCTCCATTTGGTGCTTTCTGTGATATTGAGAAGTCCCTTAGAGTCACAGCCTCTCTTCTTTCAGAAAAGAGGAACTTTTTCTTATTGTTTGTGTACAAATGGAGTTGACAAATGGACAGTTTTTTATTGTCTGCAGATGTGTTTCTGTTAAGCCCACAAAAGGTTTAGAAATTGTAAGCCCTTGTTTTTTAAGTTCAGGGGCACATGTACAGGTTCATTACATAGGTAAACTTGTATCATGGGGACCTGCTGCACAGATATTTCATCACCTAGGCATTAAGCCTAGTACCCATTAGTTATTTTTTGGACCCTCCCCATCCTCCCACCTTTTACCCCTCCATGGGTCCCTCAAATCCACACTTAAAAATTAGAAGCTATCCGGCTGGGCGTGGTGGCTCACGCCTGTAATCCCAGCACTTTGGGAGGCCGAGGGGGGCGGATCACAAGGTCAGGAGATTGAGACCATCCTGGCTAACATGGTCTACTAAAAATACAAAAAATTAGCCAGGCGTGGCGGGGGACGCCTGTAGTCCCAGTTACTCGGGAGGCTGAGGCAGGAGAATGGTGTGAACCCAGGAGGCAGAGCTTGCAGTGAGCTGAGATCGCACCACTGCACTCCAGCCTGGGCGACACAGCAAGACTCCGTCTCAAAATAATAATAATAATAATAATAATTAGAAGATATCACGTAAAATCTAGAAGGTCAGAAGATGTGATCCAAGCTCAGAGTTTTATGTGGCTGGAGTCAATGTCCTTTCTGCAGGGCATACACTTACTGTCCTGCTGCCCTGGTCCCTGTCTCCCCTCCTTTGAGTGCACATGCATATATAGCTGTCATTTGATTTCTTGAGGCATGTCTCCTGTCAGGTCACCTGACCACCTCATCAAAGCCACAAGTAAGTGCCTTTGCCCCATGGCTCCAATTTCTTTGATGGTAGCTATTACATGCCATTTCTTTTTATATTAATTTATTATAATTTTATAATCCCAACACAATTTTTTGCATGCTTAAGTTCATGTTTGATGGCATTTCTCTTCAGAGATGAAGCAAGGTTATAGTTGAGATCACGCTGGGCCTGAGCCACTGAGGGACGTCGTCAGCCCCAGAGACTCATCAGCCCTGAGAGAATGAAGCGATTCTTCCTTGGGAAGTTGGATTTCTCCAGGTGTTGTGTAGCTTTGATGTCATATTGAATTATCTGGTTTATGCAACTTTCTCTTTAGTATTCTCAGTCTCTTCAGAAACCCTGATTTAAGCCCCTGCTTTTGGAAGCTAGTTCTTCAGGATCTGAACACACTTCGTGAGCTAGATCCTGTCACATCATGAATCCACAGTTGGACCAGCATTGCCCCAGAGGGGTGAGAATTGGTTCCTGGGGAGTGTAAATATCTTAGATTCACAGTGGTTTGTGACCCTGCAAAGGAACTTGGTACATAAAGAGATAATATCTCTCTGGTATTAAAATTTCATGAAGAGCGGCCATGATTAGACAGAAATGCCCCAAAAGCCTTCTGAGGGGACAGTAGTGAAACACAAGTTGAGAAATACTAATCTACTACGTAATGTTTCTAGTCCATATGTAGATAGCACAGAGGAGAGACCTTGTGAGGCAAACCAAACCAAAGCATTTCCTGAAAAAGAGGAAATAAATTCTGTTTTTCACCCTGAAAGTTTGGAGACAAAAGTATTCCTGTGGTTGTAGCGATTTTTCTCGCAATGGTTATTATAACCCAAGGCCCTGTGCTGAATGGATGTTCTCAGCTTAGAATAAAACACTGGTTAGGTTAGGTTCATTACTACCAACTCCATTTTACAATTGGAAAAACTGGAACAGAGACGTCAAGCCTTGCCTGAAGCCAGGGTTGCCAGCGGAGTGAAAACACAGATGATTTTGGCATCCAGTCTTTCCTCTGACCACACTTCCCTCCTCATGCAGGAGAGAAGAGAGGACAT